CCGGTTGTAGCTGTGTCATCTTGAAGTGCTCTTCTATTTTGTTCATGGATACGTTTACCAAAAGTGGTGATAGCGGCGATCCCATGGGAAGTCCAAATATTTGTTCATACACGTTCCCGTTGAATGTAAAATAGGTGGTCCTTATTGCCAAGTTGATTAGTCTTATTAACGACTCCCTACCGATCCGTTGTGATTCCCCTCGGTCTAGCATTTCCAGCAGAGCCGTTAGCGCATTTTCTCTAGAGATATTTATATACATGGATTCCACATCGAAACTTACCAATAAGTCCGTTTCTTCCAGTGCCATGTTTATGATTTTTTTGGGAGAAAATTCTGTTGCTTCCAATTGATCTAGTGTCCAGTCTCTGCGAGGTGTTTCGCAAATTCTCATCTTTCGGTGTCCATTTTTCTGCAGAGCCTTCGATGTTCCTTGATTCGTATGCTGATTTTTCTCCCAGTTACGTCAATGTATTTCCGTTTGCAGGCGCCGCAGGCTATGCAGTAAACTCCTGAGCAATCCTATTTGTCTACCCTCTCGTGCTGCGTGGGTAGACTTATGAAGGGTGTTGTTTTTTCATCATTGATAACCTGAATATTCCATTTTCTTAATATTGGCCGTAGTTTTTGAGCTAGCTCGCAGAAAGGGAGACATATTCACGTTTGTGGGTCCTTCTCCATCTTTACCTTTTTTTCGTGATTCCTATCATGCCATCGGCTCTTCACGGCTCGTATGTTTATTTGTTTTACTTCTCTCGGGCATCCGTTACCGAGGAATAGACGAGTCAATTTTGCTAATTCTTCATCCCAGAATCCCACATCCGTTAATCGTGGAATTTTGATGATTATGTTTCTCAGTATTCCTATCTTTATTCTGTAGTTGTGATGAGATTCAAAATTGCGTATTATTCCGGTATATGACTTATTTCGGAACAATTTCTTCTGCAGTGTCCCAGTAGAGCGAATGACCAACACATCTAGTAAAGCCAAACGCCCCTCTTCTTCTACATCAATTGTGAACTTGATTCTTTCATCAATCCTATCATAAACTTCAGGAAATCCTCCAATTTTTCTCTTTAATAAAACCATATTGTAAAGTAGTCATCCAGTTACTTCATAGGAACTATTGGTTGCAGCGGTGACGTCTTGAAATTTTTGTCTTATTTGTTCATTTATACATTTGCCAATGGAACTGAGAGCTGTGATCCCAAATGTCTGTTCATAGATGGTGTCATTGAATGTGAAGTAGGTAGTCCTTCTTGTCAAGGTGATTAATCGTGTTAACGACTCCATTCTGATAACCTCTGCTTCTAGGATGTACACTTTTCGATCCAAACTTTCTAACAGGGCCGTCAGCGCCTTTTCTTCAGAAATGTGTGTACATAGATTATACATCTCACAGACTGGATACGAAATCAGTTGGAAGGCAACAGAAAGAAGGGACTCATAAAGTGAAAGCACAAAGAAACAGAAGATTAGGGAGGCCATTGACATCCTTGGAGAAAAAATTAATAAACAGGAGATTGGAGAAAGGCAGAGTTAGTGATAACTTTGCCTATTGTCTAATCAGACTCGGAGCAAACAAGACTGCAACGAGACAAGCAAAAAGGAGACGTCTGGATCAAGGGTATATCTTAAACCAGAGGAAAAGGGATCGCAAGGAAGAAGAGGTTTCGAAAATAAAGCGAAGACGTTGCCAATGAGTGCAGTCGGCTCGAATAAACAACTTCAACTTTGGAGGGCTGAAGTTTCACGTGACTAGGGAGAGGGATTGGGTCACGGAAATCGAGCATTGTGATCAAATGGGCAGCAGACGACCAGAAATAGATGCTCACAGTTTGCTGAGGGTACACGGGCTTAATCGAGGAGATGATGCGGGAAGGTAATGACGAATATTCGCAAACAGAGTCTAGGCACTTTGTAGATGAGGCGACTTTGTACGTGCTACGGAAGGTTTGAGAAATAGCACCTGGAGTACAAGTATGCTGGGGCTGGAACCGAGTGAAATCGGTGAACCGGAACGCGAGCATGAGGCGGATCCGGACAGGAGACTAGGGCAGGATCAGCCACATGAAAAGGGATGGGAGCATGGGGCTAGACATATCCATAGTTTTTCCTCTGCTCCTCTTGCTTTCCTTTCATTATCTCCGTCCGTCCTTATGTTACGTTGTATTGCTTCTTCTGGATATCCGTTTCCAAGAGACATCTAAGTTAGTTTTCCTAGTTCCTCTTATCAGAACTCAGAATCAAAGGGTGGTAAGCTTCTTATGACCATACTCACAGTTCGACTGTAATTTAAGAGTTATTCCAGCATGAGATTTCTTTCTGAAAACTTTTTTTTGATAGTTTCCTCTGAGATAAAGACCTCGACATCTAAGAAAGTTAAGTGACCGTTCTCTTTTACATCCAAGGTATATTTGACGTTTTCATTAATTTCATCTATGAAGATAAAGAAATCATGCAACAAAATTGCGAAGTAGTCATTCAAATATTGCATAACTACTTTGACTGCTGAGATGACATTTCAAATTCTCCTGCAACTTGTCCATGAATACATTAGCTAACAGAGGTGAGAGTGGTGAGCCCATAGGCACACCAAATATTTGCTCATTAATGATGCCGTTGAACGTGAAGTAGGTCGTTCTTATTTTTATGTTGATTAATCGGGTTAGAGACTTTCTACACATTCACACTCACTCCAGGATGCCATTTTCATTTTCCAATATCTCCAGTAGTGCTGTGAGTCCTTTTTCTTCTGTGATGTTAGTGTGCATGGACTAGACATCAAAACTAACCAAAAGTTCGTTTCATTCCAACCTTGCGCCTTTGATTCTTTGGCAAAA